TGGGACTCCTCACCTCGCTACTCCGCTCAGCCCGCCTGTGCCTCCAGCAGCGCGTCACCTCCACTTTCACTTTTTATATCCGCATCATCCCTGTTACACCCTGATCTCATGGGCCGGGGTCATTCATGTGTCTCTGTGACGATTCAAGATGACACACGAGGGACGCGGAATAAGAGGGTTTCTGAGGCGCCCGTCACTTCGGGTTCATCAGGTTCATCCACTCATCGTCTGAATCCGGTCCCCAGAATCGTTCTCTTTAGCCCACAGAAGGTCAAAACGTGGTTTTGGAATTCGTTTCCAGCTCATTTTAAATCCGGGGCCTTTCACATTAAAGGCCATGTTTCTAGTTTCTCCGGGAAAAAAAAAAAGAGAGAGAGAACTAGCAGCAGTGGAGCTGCTTTCTCACCTGGAACCAGGACCTCTGACAGCTCACAGGGCACCTTTGTGTAAATGAGACGCAGCCTTTCCTCTCCACCCTCCGCAGGTATCTTACAGGCTCGGCTGTCCTCAGGGCCCCCAAGAGCACAGTCCGCAGGCTTGAGTGGTGATAGCCTCACAGCAAAGGCACGAGCTCTCAGCTTCCCACAGCCCCCACGACTCCCCCGAGGCCTGTGCCTGGCCTTTTTCACTCACTGATGTTACCTGGCCTCTGAAGGTATTTAAGTTTGGACCCCTGACCTCTCGTCCTATATAATAAAAGCCTCATAGGCTAAATGTCCAGTCGTCTAGTCAGCCATTCAAACAATCAAAGCGTAATATGCTAATGATATGCTTTGGCCGCTCAACTGCTCACTAGGACATGCACTGACCACCAGGGGGCAGATGCTCCAACAGATAGGTTGGCTTGCTGCTGGGGTCTGGCTGATCAGGACTGAGCGAGACAGGCCTGACCTGCCCTGGAACCCTTCCATAGCCCCTCCCCTGCTGGCCAACCTCCTGCATCCCTCCCCGACCCTGATTGTGCACCGGTGGGGTCCCTCGGCCTGGCCTGCACCCTCTCACAATCTGGGACCCCCCTCGGGGGATGTTGGAGAGCTGGTTTCAGCCCAATCCTGCAGGCCAGGCTGCGGGATCCCACTGGTGCATGAATTCGTGCACCGGGCCTCTAGTTTTACAATAATCTGAAAAGGTGTAGGGATTCCCCCCAAAATTCCTTAGTGAGCCAGGTTGGCGTGGCCCAGTGGTTGAACATCGACTTACGAACCAGCAGGTCACGGTTTAATTCCTGGTCAGGGCACATGCCCAGGTTGTGGGCTCGATCCCCAGTGTGGGGCATGCAGGAGGCAGCTGATCAATGATTCTCTCTCATCATTGATGTTACTATCTCTCCCTCTCTCCCTTCCTCTCGGAAATCAATAAAAATATAATTAAAAGTATATTTTAAAAAGAACTGCTGAGAATTAATATTGTGTCATATGCATTTTCCAAGTTGCTGAAGAATCTTTAAAAAAAACCAGTCTGCACACCTGTCTGGTGTGGCGACATCACAGTCTCTTTAGCCACTAGCCAGCTCCTGGGCATCTGTGGGCATCATTTGATGAACAACTTTGAGAATAAGTGCTTTTAGTTAAAATTCTTTCTGGCGTCTGGATTTACAGGAGAGGTACAGGGTCAAAGGCCATGCTCTTTTAAAATTATTCTTATGTCCTACAAATTCACTTCCCAAAAGGGTTGTGTCACTTCATATTCATAGGAAACACATGCATTTCACAGTCACCTCTACTTTCTCATAATTGAGAAAACAAGATATTTAATTTCTTTCTAATTAAACATGTAGGTTTTTACAGAAAATCCTTTTCTTCCCCTCCCAAACAATCTTGGATCTGAACCACTAAATCAAATCCAAACAAAACTACAGAAACAAACCAGATGTTTTTGCCTGTGAATTTCCTAATGTCCAGCAGAGGGCAGCATCACAAAAGAGGAAAAAAAGGCTTCCCTCCCAGGCTTTTAGGTGGGTGTGATGGGATGGAGCGCGTAGAACCTGGAAGGAAAAGAACACAAGTCCAAATAGTTAAATTACCAACTACTACCATTTATCCTTGTCCCTTCCCCCCATAGCATCTGGAAGGTGAGAAGGTGCTCTGTGACCTGAGAAGTCTGACTGAAAGCACTCGCAGGCAGAGCAGAGGCGGGGCCAGCCGTGGTTTTCTTTCCTGAAGTTCCTAAGTCCCCATCAAATCTAAGCGCCGCCTCCTCTCCCCTGTGGCTCCCTGTTCCTCCCTCAGGGGCACTTTGGACTCTGGACCTTTCTGCCCAATCCCAAAGCCCAGTTCTCCTCCCCCTCAGCCTCTGGGCCTGGCTGCAGGTCAAGGTTTTTCCCTGGGCAGAGGGGGAGGCGGGCTCACCCATGCACCCAGGAAGCTGCCCTGCCTGGCACTGCCCCAGACAACACGTACACAAGACAAACCTCCTTCCCATAGCAAGATGGACCCATTGGGCACAGCCTTGTGTTCTGCTAAAAGTTTGTGTTCAGAGTTCGTTTTATTCCCTGGGAAGGAAGGGGATTTGTCACAGCACAAAGCAATTTGTTGGCAAAGAGACTTGTTCTCCATGGATGGGTCAGAGTTCAAGTTGGGCCTTTAATGTTAGACAGGAAGATAAAGGCCAGCAAGGTGTGGTGGAAACAGCCATGGTGGGGTGCAGCCCAGTGAGCAGCGTGGCTGCATTTGGCAAGGTGGCTGGAGCATACCTTGGAGGCCTAGAGGAGTGGTTTTCAACCTTGACCTGCAGGAAACAGTCTTCTTTCTTTTGGGGGGGGGGGGGGGGGATTATTGATAAAAAGTGAATTCAGCTCTAACCGGTTTGTCTCAGTGGATAGAGCGTCGGCCTGCAGACTGAAAGGTCCAAGGTTCTATTCCGGTCAAGGGCATGTACCTTGGTTGCGGGCACATCCCCAGTAGGAAGTGTGCAAGAGGCAGCTGACCGATGTTTCTCTCTCATCGATGTTTCTAACTCTCTATCCCTCTCCCTTCCTCTCTGTAAAAAATCAATAAAATATATATTTTTTAAAGTGAATTCATCTACCCATCTGGCTGTCCATCCATCCACCTATCATCTATCTATCTAATCTATCTGGGCCCCTTTATATAATTACACTTGAAGCTCTATATACCTCCTGGAATTTTCCTGTGTAAGAGCCAATATATTCAATATATGCTTTAGGTAAGGTAAATAGGATTTCTGTGAGTACATACACTAGAGTCCTGATTAAAATAACTGCACAATCGACTATTTGCATTCTATTCTATTTCTAATACTTACATAGTCTTTAGTAATGTTTCTGTAACAGTCTTGTCTCCTCCAATAGATAGTATGTTCTGAAGGCCTGGAACACATTTTTAAGTTTTTAATGGAATATAATATACATTTAAGAAATGATATAGAGTATAATAGGACATATAGGTTAATATATAAATTAGTGTGACAATATTATATCATAGACTTGAGGCCTGGTGCATGAATTCATGCACCAGTGGGGTCCCCCGGCCTGGCTTGTGGGATCAGGCTGAAACTGGCTCTCCGACATTCCCCCGAGGGGTCCCGGATTGCAAGAGGGCGCAGGCCAGGCTGAGGGACCCCACCAGTGCACAATCGGGGCTGGGGAGGGACATGGGGGGTGGCCAGCCAGACCACAGGAGGGCTCCAGGGCATGTCTCACTCAGTCCCAATCAGCCAGACCCCAGCAGCAAGTGTCTGCCCCCTGGTAATCAGTGCACATCATAGCTAGTGGTTGAGCGGCCTTAGCATATCATTAGCATATTACACTTTGATTGGTTGAATGGGCGACCGGACACTTAGCATATTAGGCTTTTATTATATAGGATAGTTTAGTGATATATAATATATAGTATAGTATATATGTTCTATATATATTATATATGGTGCCCTGATGAATTGTCACTGACTGGTCATGCTTGTGTACCCAGCCCCTACATCAAGGCACAGGAGATGGTCAGCATCCCAGCATCTGGAACTCAGGTCCAGGCCCTGCCCCACCCCATCTGTCCAAGATGGTCACCTCCATCCTGACTGTAGCAGCGTGCTGTCATTATCCTGGGTGTTTTGCTTCATCTAAACAGAATCATGCACTCCTGCATCAGGCTTCTTTCTCTCCACATCATGCGTTTGACACTCAGTATGTGGCTGCAGGTTTTTCATCATTGCTGTGGACTTATTATGTGTGTGAATAGGTCATAAATTACCCATTCTACTCTTGTTGGGCACTTGGATACTTTCCAGTCTCCGGGTATTATGAATAGATTATTATGAATATTCTAGAACTTGGCATTCAGTGACAACCTGCATGCATGCCTTTCTTTTGGATCTTTATCTACCACTGGCTTTTCTGGGTCCCAGGCGGTTGCCTATGGCAACTTTATTCAGCACACCCAAAGTTTCCTGAAATGGTTACACAAATGTGCCCTCCTTACCAGCAGACTAAGAGATTTCCGGCTGCTCCGTGTTGTTGTCAATACTTTGGTATTTTTAGAGGACTACGACACGTTTATTCTTATTAATGACTGGATATTTCCTTGCTTCGTTTGGTTAGGTATAATAATTTATTTACAAAATTGCATTCCACAGAACAAGTTACTTGATAGGAAGAGAGGGTCATGGAAGATCACTTGGTAATACAAGGGCAGGGACAACGTTGTCCACTGCCGTAGACCAATTCCAGCATGTCATAATTTCAAGAGTTTCATCAAAAGGTTGATGAGACTTGGGGACTCAACAGGGTTGAGTCACACATGTAGTCACCGTTGGGAATGGCTAAAGGCATTGCCCCAAGCCTGAATAGGATACATTAAATTGGTTGCTTGGCTGCCAGACAGTTAAAAGGCATCTTAATCTACATGTTATTGCCTCCTACTGGCCAAACACCTGTACAGCCGTAGGCTATTCCCCAAACTGACAATGCTTCTGTACCCTTTGAAACCTTACCCTTTGAAGTGTATTATCTCCGCCTTGCCTTAGGACAAATTGTGTTAATAAAAAGCAAGGGTCCTAGACAAGGAGGGAGTCTTCAGTTCCTTTAGCTGAAGGTCCTCTGACCCCCAATGCCTTTCTAAATTATCTTTCATCTCCGGACTCTTTATTAGTCTCTGGATTTCTATGTCATCTGTGCACAGCCTCTTCCCTATTCCTGAACCCTTCTTGATGCTGGGACAAGAACCCTGGCAGTCCACCCTCAGGACCACGAGGAGGGAGGTGACCAGGCATTGGCGTCACCAGGGGTCACTGTTACTGCAGCCATTTCTTGAGCTTCAGGGCACTGCCTCCTTTTGACCCTCAGATTTCTGGGCAGAAATCATATTATGTTGCTGCTGCCAAGGCTTCTGATCTCTGTTGTAATCAGGCGATTGGGTTCCCTGGGTTCAGTTCAGTTCCAGAACTGGCAGAGACCGAGCCCCTGTGAGAACGCTGCCCTGGGGCTGGGCCTCAGGGCAGAGAGCTGCACTCCCCAGGTGCACACATGGGGATCTCTGCACCCCACTTCCAGAGACTTCTCCATGTTGAATCCCTTTGTCCCGGACTCCCTCCTCCCCATGCGTCAACTTCCACTTTCTCTGCTCAGCAAATAGTGGTCATTGCTCTTGCCTCTCACAGCTTCATCTGCTTTTGTCTTCGTCCCCTCAGCCATTCTGTTGGTACATGGCGGCGTGTGCCTTTCAAGACTATTTCATGTCCTTGAAGAAGAATTTGGGGATGGAGTAGAAATAAATGCAAGTGCTCGATCCTTCTTTATTAGGAAGTGGAGAACCTTTTTAAATGAACATTTAAAAACAGTGTTCTATGGGTTTCTACATTTTTTCCTTTCCATTGAATTTACTGGGGTGACACTGGTTAACAAACTGATACAGGTTTCAGGTGCACAATCCTACCCTGCATTGCGTGTTCACCTCCCCGTGTGGGATGGATTTTAATGGACAGCTAGCAATTTCCTGCCATAAGTAATATCCATTCAATCACGGACTTTGTTATTAGGGATTTTGTTTTCTAGTACACAGCAAAGTCAATACATAACCATTACATAAATGCTTTAAGTGTGTTCACACACCGTCTTAAATAACTTTGCATAACTCCAGGAATAAATGTACTCCACTTTGCTGAACACTGAACTTTTGTACTTCTTTGCCTTCAATGATAAGAGCCTGATTGTAGACTCAGTCCCTGCTTGCTAGAACTGCTCTCTTAAGAGTTTCCTTCAGCCTTTCTAGAATAGGAGAAAGAGTAAATCAGAAAAACATGTACAAATTTAGGCCCAGAAAAGTTAAGATTGAACTATATTCTGGAAAGGGCTCAGCAAACTCAAATTGTTGTAGATTGTCTTATAGACATCTGGGCGAATACAGCGACCTCACACTAAAAAGCGTTTTGTGTGTTTTCTTACCTCAAGGATTGCCAGAGCGCATCAGTGCCCCAAACTGTCCACGCCTTCTCCTGGTTGTCCTGGGAATTAAGAGGTGACAAGGTTTGGAGGAGCAGAGAGGAAACATGCAAAACCATGAGGTAAGGGTGGCAAAGCCACACCATGTAGATCAGAGATCAGTAACCTCTGACCCATGCCCGAAATCCAGCCCAGCACCTATTTTTAAAATACAGTTTTATTGAGACACAGCCATGCCCACTTCCCTGGGGGGTGCCTATGAGGCTTTTGCTACCAGAGTTGAGTAGTTGCCACAGAGACCCCATGACCCCAAAAATCTAAAATGCCTACTAGCTGCCTTGCTGACCCCCTGGTAGGTCCCCGAGGGACCCTGTGGAGAACAACGGCACCCCAATCCTTTTCATAAGCAAGAAACCAACCTCTGAGATTCTGGGACTCTTGCACCATCATTTACCCTGATTTCACAATGCATGCTTACTCAGCAGGAGCTAAACTAGGAGGCCCTACAGCCTGCCTGCTGGCGGCGGCCCCACTGCCAGTGGTTTGTGCCATGTCAGATGACCATCTGTGTCCACCGGGGAGGGGGTGCAGCTCTCCTCTCCGGGACCCACACCCAGGCTAAAATTTCCCACACCTGCTCTGTCCCCATAGATCCTAGGACCAGGTTGACCCCTGGGGGTCACCACCTAATTACAATGAAGCCCCAAGGTCATTGAGATTAGAGAATTTAATGTGATTTGTGCCCAGTGATCTGTGTGTCAACAAGGAGAGGTTCCCTGAGGCTCAGTGAATTGGCTGCCTTAAGGGTGACCCTTGATCAAGCTGGTGCCTGGTCCCCTAACTTGTGGTCATGGTGGTGGACAAGATGTCCCTGCCCTGATGTTACTGACCACCCACCGTCCACTTTTCCCATTGGGTAACTTACGTTGGGGTCTGCACTTTTAAATCAATTAGCGGTGTTATTACTTATTATTCACTTTTTATGTTTGCCAACATTTTACTTTTTCAAAATGCAGTGACACACCTTCCGTGCTCACCTTTATTTGTGGCAAGTCATCCAGGTCTTCCACGTATGGCCATGATGTAACATTTTCTTGTTGAATGAGTGTGTTTAAAGTAAAAGACACTGGAGGGAAATTGCTAATAATAGTACAGATGGTGAGCTGACATGGCAGAAAATGGGATGTTAATATGAAAATAACTGAGGTTCCAGAAAAATGTCACAGAATTCTAGATCCACTGAATTTTGGTTTGGAGTGGATGGTACAGGAGCCACCCACTGCCTCTCTTTCTCCAGAAAGGGACCCCCAGGGTCACCCAGTGGGCCCCCCAACTCCTGGTCTGCCTGTGCAGTGTTCTCCACCACAAAGCCTGTGCCAATTCATGCCATGATTAGTGGGCAAAGCCAAGTGAAGGGCAAAGCCAAGTGAAGGGCACAGTTGTCCAGTGCTGCTTGAGTGCATGCTCGCCATATATCTGTTGAGTAAATTGATGGACATAGAGGGGTTAGGGAGTGTCTTCTCCCCTAAGACTTGACCAGCTGCTTAGGAGTTAAGGCCAATTCCTAGGATTTTACTCTCCAGATAATCCATTTCCACACGGGAAACCTGACGGAGCTCCCCAAGGGAAAGCTGTGTTCCTAGCCACCTCCCACTGACACAAGAAACACTGCATCTCTTTCATGTGAGGCAGGGCTTATGCATGTGAGCCAAGCTGAGGTCTGGCTTCAGACTCCAGCCTCACCCATCCCTTCTGCAGATGACTCTGAGCCAGGCGGGAACGGGGCGAGGTCTGGAGGTGGCTGCCCCTGCAGAACGGGTTGGTGTCCCTGGTGTGACTGAACAGTGGGAACAGAAGAATAATTCACCCTGGGGCTCTGAAGATGCTGATACAACACCCTACAGTCTTCAGAGGCTAGCAGCCACGCGGTGTTCCCAGATTGCAAAGGCCTGTGTGTGTGTGTGTGTGTGTGTGTGTGTGTGTGTGTGTGGTGTGTGGTGATTAGAAATAGCCTCTGCTTAGAGGACAACCCAGATTGTCCCATGTGGGTAGAGATATGGGTGCTCTTTATCTGGGTGCGCTTCATGACCCGTGTTTTTTCTCTGATAAAGTAAGGAACCCCCCCCCAGGGCAATCTTTTTTTTTTTTTTTAAATTTTTTTTAAATCCTCAACCAGGGATATTTTTCTGTTGATATTTAAAGAGAGTGGAAGTGAGAGGGAGAGAAATATCGATGTGAGAGAAACACACAGATTGGTTGCCCCCTGCCTCCGAGCCTGACCGGAGGTACCTGAGTATGTGCCCTTGACCAGAGTCAAACCTGGGACCCTTCAGTCTGCAGGCTGACTCTCTATCCACTGAGCCAAACTGGCTCGGGCCAGGCCAATCTTTATAGAAGCAGTTACCTCTGGGGACTGACCTCCCCGCCAACACACACACACCACATGGGAAGCTAAGAGATTTGTCCTAAATTCCCCAGTTGAGCAGCTGTGGGGCTGAGAGTTGCTCACAAAGTTTGCAGCCTTGTTCTGAGACCACCGCCACCCCTTGTCCGCTGCCTTGGGAAGCTCACTGCCTGCTAAGGTTGAAGTGTCCAAGGGAGAAACCCTTATGTAACAAGTTGTTTGACAATCAGGTAACCTGAGAGCTGTGTCCAGGCTGTTTAGGGGAAAGAGGGTCAACTCTGGGTGGGCGTGGCCTGGAGGCCCTGGCTGTGCCCTGAGCAGCCCTTTGGGAGACCAGGAGCTTCTGGGTTGCTTCCTGATGAGGCCATAGGGCGGCGGTGGGGCGGGAGCTGCTGACAGGGAGCTGAGGGGCAAAGGTCACAGCTCCTGGAGGCAGAGGCGCTTGCAAGGAGACAGAGATCTGTGGCCCTGGAGCTGCTGTCCTCCCACAATGTGGTTCTTCGCTCTAGTCCTGGGCTCCCTGGCCACTTGCACAGTTTGGGGTGAGTCCTTCTGAAATGCAAATAGCGGGGGGAGGGGGCACATTTGGAAATCCGTGTCTGGTGCGAGGTGGGGGAGCTGCGTACTGGGCAAACCCATGACAGGTGCTGTTCCAAAACAGTGTGATGGGAGTGCCATCCCCGAGTCTGCAGCAGACCCAGGGATGAGGGACCGTGGAGACGGACCACCACTCACCTCATGCCTGTGGACTAGGACCTGCAGGAGCTCATTTATTTCCCCTGCTCATTGGTCCAGATGTGGCCAAATCATGGAGAGCGGCTTAGCAGCATATTAACATCCACTCCAAAGGGGTGTGTGTCCTTAGTCAGGGCGCCTCCTTCTCTTAAATGTGTGATGATGTTACACCTCCCTGGGCAGGGGCGGGAAGGGGTGGTTCTCCTGAGGATGAAATGGGTTGTTTCTTTGGGGATGGAGGAAATGCCACGGAAGAATCCTTAAATAAAGGGGTTGTTTTAAAGTGTCCTGTATTGCCCTGACTGGTTTGGCTCAGTGGATAGAGCATTGGCCTGTGGACTGAAGAGTCCCAGGTTCGGCCAAGGGCACCAAAAAATAAAAATAAAAAAAGTGTCCTTTATTAATAGAAACTGCTGGAGGGCCAGCAGATCAGGAGCCACTTCATTGAGAAAATAGGTTGTTACTCCCAGTTTCCAAGAGGCAGAGGGGGCCCACCACCATTATTGCGACAAGGTGAAGCAGTGGATAGGTCAGGAGACGGAGGAGGGAGAAAGTGTGGCAAGAGTCTTGATGGTGGTTGCAGGTCAGGGCAAGCTATGCAAATAGGCAATTTCAGTGGTGGTTGGCAGGTTGGCAGGGATCTGGCCCTGGAGTGATTAGGGCAGGAAGATAGTGGCTGGGGCGTGGTAGCCTGAGAAAGAAGCTATTGGGGGAGGAGGGCAGGGGTACAGACTCTGGCATGCTAGAAGGGCAATTTGATGACTATCTCTAGGAATTGGTTCACTCTAAGGGGGCAGGGGCAGTCCCTCCAGAGTCAGCCATACCTGGGATGTCAGTCAATGTATCAGAACAGAAAATAAAAGACATGGTGAGGATTTGTTCTATGGGATCATTTCGCTTTCCTGGGTCTGGAGCTAAAACACAACAGAGGCCAAGATATTGCGTTCCATTTGATTGAAAACTGTCTAAATAGTCCATTGGGCCACACTGGGGCGGCTCAGTTGGTTGAGTATTGTCCTGTGCACTGAAAGGTTGCAGGTTTGATACCCAGTCAGGGCACATACCTGGGTTGTGGGTTCAATCCCAGGTCAGGGCGTGTATAGGAGGCAACCGATTGATGTTTCTCACATTGATGTCCTCCCTCCCTCCCTCCCTTCCTTTCTCCAAACATGTTCTTAGGTGAGGATTGAAAAAATTGAATCAGTAGTCAATTGAACCAGGACCTTGTTCCTAAGACTGCTGGATGCTGACCAGTAGTCCTGAGGGCTACATCAAACATGTCCAACTCACAGCCCATCAGTCATGAGTTTGACATGCTTGAGCTATATGATCAAGCAAGGGAGAGGGAAGTTGAATGAGTCAGGGTGCTGGGTAAGGCCAGTTAGAATCAAAGGAAAAAAAAAAGTCCAGCCCTAGCCAGTTGGGCTCAGTGGATAGAGCATCGGCCTGTGGACTGATGGATCCTGGGTTCGATCCCAGTCAAGGGCACATGCCCAGGTTGCGGGCTTGATCCCCAGGGAGGGGTGTGTAGGAGGCAGCTGATCAGTTATTCCCTATCATCATTGATGTTTTTCTCTCCCTTCCTCTCTGAAATCAATAAAACTATATTTAAATATATTAAAAGAAAATAAAGGCCAGATTAAAGAAAATACAGTTTCTGCATGGGTCCTCTCATGACATCCACCTCCTTCCTTCTTCCTTCTTCCTTCCTGACAGCCCAGGCCCCATCTAGACTTTCTTTCTTTCTGGTGGCATGCACTCAGAGAGGCCCAAAACTGAGTGTCAGGGCAGAGTAAGAAAGGAGCCAAGTTAGGAGTGGAGCATTCCCTCACTGCTGCCACCTCCTGGCAAGGCCATCCTGTTTCCCTCTTTAGAAAGCCCATTCTTGGCTGCCTCTATTTCCTCCGTGTTCTCATCTGTAAAATGGGCAGACTACTGCCTACCTGGCAAGGCTCTGGGAAAGATTCAATGCACCGAGATTCCCATCTGATACACAGGAAATGCCCAACATGTAAACATGACCTATAACATACGTGGGAACGGCCACTGTTACCATTACTGCGTAGGTCTCCCAACCCAATCACCCTCTTTTTCACCCTGGCCAATTGGGCTACTGGGCTCTTCATGTCTCTTGAAGGTTATCATTGACTTCCTAAAGGCCAGGCTCTTATCAAGTCTGGTTTCTTCTCAGACGTCACCCTCCTTCCCCT